AGTTGATAATATTAACTATATTTTAAAATTTAGGCTATAAAAATTATAATTCTATCCACAGTATTTTGTTTGTATTTTATGCAAGATATTCTTTTAAATAATAATAGATTGCATCAATCCATAATAATTTACCTACCACTTGTAATCATGTACAACAAAAGTTTCATTCTTATAACATTAAAATATCACATATAGATTGTAAGCTATTATTATTATTTTTGAAAATTTGAATTTTTAATTATTTTGGTGATTATTTAATCTTTTAATATTATATAAAGTTATAATTATTTTTTAAAAAAAATCAAAAGATTCTTTTTTACTCTCTATCAAGAATATGAACTGTAAAGAACTAAAATATCAATACACTCTTGTGTCACTTGAAAAGACTAGATAATCATTCAAAGATGATATAATATTAAAATAAAATGGCTATTTTTAAAGATAAAAAGACTAAAAAAACTTGAAACAAGACTAAGAACTAAAAAAGCATTGGTAAGAGTAAAAAAGGCTTTATTCTTACCTCCATATATATTCTTAAGTAGGAGTTACGTGGTGATGTCCTATAAGACCTCCAAAACATGTTGACTTTGTAAGACATGTAATTTAACTTACAAGACAAGTTTTCTATATATGCACCACATAGTTAGTTTGTTTTGCAAGCTACCAATATGTGGTTAACTTATTGACTAAGTTTCTAACCTACCAATCAACTACAAACACATATAAAGTCAAAGCAATGTCTATGAATCTTTTAGAAAGTATCTTTAAAAAATATTATGAAATAAATTTTCTTTTATCTAGTTCTACTTAATCATATAGGTAAATATTAGAATAAATATGTATGTCCATGATATTACCTTCTTTTCTACTAATGAATTCCACGAGGAATGATTATCATATGTTGGAGAAATTCAAGATGCAACAAAATGTGTTTGTGACATATTTTGATCTTTGTTCTCTCCAAAGATGGTTGATAGGTCGTCTCACTAATTGATAGTGTCCCATACAAGGGTGGAAAGACCACCCTATTATTTAATCATTGTTGAAGTATTTATAGCTTCAAATTAAATATTTAGAACACCATCACAAGTTATTCCTACTTCTAATCAAATCACCAAAGATTGGGAGTTTCTTTCAAGGTCATGATACCAAATATGTTGTATTTTGCTATTTATTTGAAGAAAGACATGTCATTCTTGAGGATCTTCATCTTGACTATGTTGTCTTGAAGATTGTTACAATTTTAATGTTTCATTTGGTAAATCAACAATTGATAACTCTTGAGCTGAATTTTTTGGTTGTTGATTTTTTATCTCTTTAATATCACAAATATACAAAAGTTACAAACAAGATTAGAAGGTAGAATACTATCTTTTTTAGATCTTATTTCTTTTATAGCAAAGATATGTTATTCTTCATCTTGGATTTGATGGATGTCATCAATGAAAAGCTTCAACTTTTTTTCTTACATTTGCAAGATCTCAAGATATTCATTGTCTTATATGGCTCAAAAAGAGATATATGAAATATGGAATGGATTTTAATTATGATTTGGTATAGCAAAGAATATTTGGATATTTTTAGATACTTTAGAAAGTCTTATTATAAAGCTTCTTAAATATATAAGAAATTTTATTTATAGAATATATATATATATATATATATATATATATATATATTAAGAATATATCACTTATTAAAACTTAGTTAATTAGTTAAAGCTAAATTCTCTATAGCTAGGTACCTAATATATTTTCAGATAGAAAATCATGCCATACAATAATGGATTGATATATACAGTGTTTGTTACCCTTTTTAAATGAAATTTGTAATAATAGATGCAAGAAAAGATCTAAAAGAAGTTAACAAGGTGGTGGAAGTTACTTTAAATAATACTATACAATGCTCTAATTGAATTGATGTTGATTGGAGTACATTATTATAAGAGGGACTTTATTAATGGCATAAAGGAGAAAATAAAAGAAGTTGAATTAGCCTTCACTTTGCTAAAAATCTATGTATATTTGGAGCTACTTACATTTTTTGCTTTAATGATGTATATCTATAAATATTCTACATACTTTTTAATTATGACAAGTATTGAGATATAATTCAAACCAAATTTAAATTCGTGCTATGTGGTGTATTTATCAACACTATGACTTGTATATTAGAGATATGTAAATATATATATATATATATATATATATATTATTTTAAATATGAAAATATAGTCATAATCTATGTAGATTTTAAACTACATAATGTGATATGCATATAATATATTAATACATGATTCTTATTTAATGTATAATTATTTTTTTATTAATATATATACATATATATATATATATTAATAAATAATTATTTTAAAATTTTAATATATAATTATTTCAATATATGCTTAAAAGCTTAAATACTATAGAAATGATCATAATCCAAAGTATATGATATGCACAAGTCAAAATTAATAATATGATATGAGTAAGTAATAAATTACCAAGTCAAAGTGAGCCATTAGAAATAACTCTGATACTAGCAAATATAATCAATATAACAGTATAAGTGAGTCAAACTCTCTTATTAAGACTCAAATTGACAATTATGAAGCTCTTGAAATTTTACATTTACAAATTAAGAGAATTTTTAGTAGTAAAGTTGACAAAAGAGGCTAAGGCAATGTGGTTAGGGAGGGACAAGAAAGAGGCCATTAAGGCAGCATGAAGAGGAGCTCAAGTAGAGTTGTAGATAGGACAAGGGTGAGGATAGAGAATAGGCTAGTGCTTTTTAACAATCCCAACATAGAAAATATTACAAGCATTCAAACAACTTTATGACATGTCGGCAATCAATATTTGCAACCACTACTATCAAAGTAATACTTGAGTGGCACTATCAATACATGAAGGAATTTTTATGGAATGATGAGCAAATGAAAGCAATATTAGCAAAGCATGAAGAATATGGAAGCATAAGTAAAGTAGCAATAAACCATGATATTCTATATACAACTTTCAAGAAATGGTATTATAGAATGCAATAATTCAAAAAAAAAAAAAGAATTCAAGGGATCTAACATCAGAGGAAGAAAACGAATTTGTAAAGTATATTTTAGCCATGTATGACAGGGGCTTAAATTAGACGTTTATAACTTTAAAAATGAAGGTTTTTGAAACAACTAGGACTTAACATACTCTGTTTAAAAATAAGATTTACAGTGATGGATAGTTGAGGTAGTTTAAAAATCATTACTTGGAACTCATGATGAGGGTGGCATAAGTCTTTGCATCTTTTAGAGCAAAAATACTATGCAAAAAAAAATTTGGAAAGCTTTTATGATACTTTAAATGGATTATATACATTGCATGGATATCTTTTAGACATGGTGTAGAATTGTGACAAGTCCAATGTAAAAGCATGAAAAAATGGTGATGTACTTGTTATAGCACTAAAACATGTTTATTAGGTATATTTCACCATTTTAGATTAAAAAAAATGGCTATTAGTATTGATTTGCATCAACACAATGGAATTAGGCATATCATCTTTCTACATTTTTAAAAAGATTTTTTTTCAAAAAGACTATATGTAGCATTATGAGGCAAGTGTAATTATGGCGATACAACATAAGATTTGGATGATAAGTTATTTGTTCTCCACATGGAATTCTTATTTTATTACAAATGTGGAATGACTTAGTGGCATTTCTCCTATCTAGAGGCATCTATTGATCCTTGACAAATATACATGTCATGTTACTATTCAAGTACCAAGACTAGCATAAAATGTAAGATTGGACATTCTAAGCATACCACCTTATATATTACTTGCTATGCAATCTCTAGATACATGTATATTTGGACCATTCAAGATCTATTTCAATGAATATTAGAATTATTAGATATCCAAAAATCTAAATCAGGCTCTATAAAAATAAATTATTATACATTGGATGTTTTTAAGCTTGAAACATGCTTTTATAGTGAACAATATGACCAAATATTTTAACTCTATCAAAATCTTTTGTTTGACAAAACAAAAATAGACTATTACATGGATTAAATAAAATATACACGTAATTTATAGAAGAAGTTAGACAAATAAAAACAATGGAGTTTGAAATTTTGCAAAGAATGAAGGTAGTGGCATAGAATTAGTTGGTGAAGAGGTACTTGCCTTGCTAGTTCATGACATTGCAATAGACTTAGAATTGACTCCAAATTCCACTACTAAATATTTTTTTGTTGATACAAACATATCAAATCTAGAATTGGCAAAAGATGTTGGTAGATTAGACTGTATATGCTCTAACCCAAAATCCATAACTCACTTCATAATGCTGCCTACTATCAGAAACATGCCCAATTTGAAGAGACATAATGTAGATTCCATAGTAGAATTTTTTAAATCATTAATACTAATCTTGGAGACATATATGAGTATTATACAACAAATCCAAGATCAAAATCTTAAATGAGAAAGGAAAAAAAGACACAAATTTATCAAGAAGAGTTGAAATGTAAAAGATTAGTGAATCTATAAGAATATAAGATTTAAAAAAAAAAAAACTCACTTGGTTGCAATCGCAATAGAATAGACCTGCAAGACTATTGAGTAGAAGATTGTTGCAAAATAGCATGCTTATAAGGTCCTTGATTGAAACATTATTATAAAAGAACTTGCTTGCAAGATACTTGAGCAGAAAGTCACATGTGAAATGACTGCATATACAAAAGAAGCACAATATCAAGATTTGCAAATTTTTTTGTGCTTGTAGTGCCTAGTCTTACACACCAAGTTTCATGTGTTGTAGCTTGCCAAATTATGTACAATTAGATGTTTAAATTTTTGTTGCCTCATTTGCACATTTACATTTGTAGGTAGTATAGAATTAAGTAAAGTTTGATAGCATAATTAGGTGCTACATCATGGTTTTGTAAAACTTAGATTCTTGATTTTGTAACTATCAAAATTGTGTTATCTTATATGTTGAAAATGGGTCAAAGAGAATCTTTATCTAAAACATCTATATAAATTTTGTCTTCGGACCAAATTGTATGAAAACATTTGGAATCCTCTTGATTTCTATTTTACTTCATGGAAGTATTTTTTTTTCTCCATTTTTATACCTACTAGATATATGCTAAAATGCTTAAATTATCAAAAATGGTTTGTCTACCTTGTACTTAATCGACCACAAGCATCAGTCTACTACAAGCACTAACTTCCACGTGATACCATAGCACTACGTCGTTTCTATTACAACCAAAGTTGCACAAGGTGACTGTTTTGCTCCTCCCTAACTCTCTCTCTGAGTTTAGAGCAACTTCATGAGCAAGAGTGATGCTTTGCAAGCTGGATGCTGTAGAGGGCGTAACCGTATATGACAGACCGTCAAGCTTCGCACCCAGTTCGGATTAGTGATGAAGTCGATGACCACCATCACCAGCAGCAGCAGAAAAAAGATGAGGGGGTTTGTGGTTAGTCGTTGAGACTGCACAGCATGGCGACTCCGCGACGAGTCCAGTGACTGGATGGCTGCGAAGACGGCACCCTGATGCTCATGAGAAAGTTTGTGGAGTGACCCGTGGTGGCTAACACTCCCCTACGCTCTCCCGTGCGATACACAGGGCAGTTGTACACTTGACCCGGCACAATGTTCGCCAGCAATGCAGGCTGCAACTTGATGCACGGCGCTGGGATGTGAAGAATCTTGGGCTGGGACTCGCACAACACCTTTTGGACGGAATCCCAGGCACAGCCCTCCAGAAACAAGCCCTTGATGTAAGCACCGTCGGTGGGGACCTCTGTTGGCTCGTTGTCCAGCATGAAAAACTCGAAACCGATGCCGTCGATGGCAAGCTTCTTGCGCCTGGCGTAGTTCTGCAAGGCGGCTGTCATGAAGGACTGCGCAAAGAAGAATCCACTGATCCAGTTCACCGCTGGCCTCCCCACCTCATACCAGGTTTGCAGCACCTGCAGTTCATGAAAACCCGGGGTTGCATTATGTCCTTCCCACGTTTGACGGCGAACACGGATTTGTGAACATGTCGATAGAACCCCAGAGAAAACCTGTTTGAAGAGCGGTATCGACGATCTGCTTTGACTGCATTCTCAGAGATTATGGTATTGTCGTTGAAATATGCTTGATTCTTCTCGCTCAATGTACGGTTTACATAAAACAGAACTATGTCGTGGGACCAATAATTGGCAAAGATCTAGTGATTTTAAAAAGGCTCTGATGGGCGCGCACGGGTTAGTGAATAACGTTTCGAAGACTTGAAAATTGGACTTTGAGAATTTTGTGATGAGTTTGCGAACGAATCAACTCAGATGCGGACGTGCGAGACACACCTCAATACGTTCCAGAAGGTCTTTCATGTACGACGCCAGCGGCTTCATCGATGGATACGAAACCTTCGCCCACATGGCAGGGAGCTGTGCACACACCACCATTTGCATCAGCAGTCTGTAAAAAAGGTGCTACTAGCTTTCTGTGGTGTCGTTTTATAATGGTTGCAGAAAGACGGCATAAGGGAAGTTTGTCACTTCTGTTACATTCTCAAGGTTCTCCAGACTTGGGTTTGATGAGCAGAACAATATGTAAATGAAATAAAATGAGAATAGGATGCAACCATGTTGACTTGAATGCTGCGAAACGCTTCTTCCTGAGCTCCGGACATGAGCACCAATCCATCGATGGCCTTCTCTATTGTCTGCAGAGAGACACGAATCCTGGCTCCATCCAAAGCCCACGTTTCTAATTTCTAAGCTCAAGTTTGAACAATGTTTCCGACTTTGGATTTTCAGAGTGGATGCCAAAGACTCATAACAGGGAAAAGAATCCTCCCGCAAGTTGCATATGATTATTCCTAAAAAATAAAATGTTATCAATTTTAAAGATTTGAACAGAAGTAGTAACTTGAAACATCGTCATTCACTTGAAGACTCTTTTAGATTAGTTTATATTTTATTTTTTGTTTTTAGATCGGGTAAATAGACAAAAGCGAAAAAGAGGTGTGAAGAAGGTCCACGCACGTCGAGAGCAGCTTGTTGAAGCGAGTCATTTCCTGCGTTAGAACGGTGTTCATGCTCTCTTCATACAGAACTGGGTACTTGAGCTGCGTGGTTTCTATGTCGAAATTAGGTGGCAAGTTTTTGATCATCGCTAACACCACCGATTTGACCCCTCCACCTCCTCCACTGCCCCCCGCTTTTCCTCCAGTACCTGCTCTTTCATACAGAATCAATCATCTATTTCGTCTCAAACCTTGTCCTGTGGGTAAAACTCTGCTCTTAAAGTGGATACACTGAACTGTTGGTTGAGAAAGACGATCCATTCTTACCGATTGCATCTGATGAAGCAAGCAGCAACGAATACAAGATCAAAGTAGTTCCGTTCATATCCTTGGTGATGTCTGCGTTTGAGTGCAATCCAAAGGCTTCCGGGGCTGGAATCACAGGGAAGGTCTCCACATAAGCCATGTAATCTTCCAAACTCCCCACTGGAGGCGTTCGGTAGAGGCCAGACTCCGACAACGCGTACCCTTCCTCCATCATTTTCATGCAATACACAGTTCGCAGAATGGTCGTTAGCAGGATCCTATCCTTGTCATCTGCACATGGCGAATTCGAATCAATTTAGTGAGCTGGCATCAAAGCCTTTTGTTCGAAGTTTATAATTTTATGTGAATTGAAGCACGTGAATTGGTTTCGGTGCAAATGGAATGTCTTGGTTTGTGTGGAGTTGGGCATTGACCTGTCACTCGCCCTCCATAGTTGCACTCTCCTGTGACGTAATTCAATGCTTCCAATGGGATTTGTTTGCCTTCTTCTGTGTTGTTGATAAACATGTGAAGCTGCCTCACACTTTTGTTACATTCACACGCATCAGGCCACCACCCAGCCCCTTCCAGATCAGACGGTGGCTGTAGAAATACTTTTAATTCCATTCATTGAATTGGGCGAAGTATACTTCATTAACAAACTTTCCGAGATAAGTTTCGGTTATTTCAGTGGAACCCAGACAAAAACAACATGAGAGTGGAAAAATCCGCAATGAGCACCTGATTCGTAGATCTCCATCGTCAAATCCGTAGGGGATGTTCCACCCCAACGGGCCAAATGTCCGGCGCTCTTGCACCACAGCATGGAAGAAACATAACCCAAATAACAAGCTTTTGAAGAGTTGAGGTTTGTTACAGCTCTCGAAAAACTCCTTGTTAGCAATTGGATCCAGCAAGTAGGACCTTCTTATGTTGGCGCGGAGACCTTTCGGTGGTTCGTTCGTCATTTTAACCCCATTCTTAGCACATAGAATTTCAGCGAAAGTCAGGATCCGGCCTACTGCGAAAAGTAAGCATCTGTCAATTTTTACAAAAATGGATCCTTCTAAACTATAAATCATGTGTTGTGGCGGTATGACACCTGTAAAATTGTGATCGGAAACTTTGGGCTAGGATATGAGGTCATCCACAATCGATAGTCTTGGTTGCAATCAGAACCAGCACTTTCGCAAATCCTTTCTAGCTCGGGCATCCATGATGGTGCCAAATGACAATTCTGGAGGAGCACCCACGAACCTGTGCAAAATTAAGATGTAATCAGGTCAGTGTGGAACAAGACAAAAACCTCCATTTGTTACACTTGAACTGTTTGTGGGTGTATAACATGTTCCAGAAATATATATAAAATTTGTGTGGTACTGAGAAGCACATCTCGAATGCGAAACTGACCCGAAGTCTGGGCATCGGCAATGAGAACCTTGGCCTTGGGTCCCTGGCCTTGACCAAGAGAAATGGGCGCAAACTTTTCTGACATTCCCATGTCGGCTGCATACTTTAGCAAAGCAGCAGTTGGGTCGCTTCCTGGGGATAACACAAAGATCAGCGGGCACGATGCGCTGGAGTCCCGGTAACAAGCATCCAGGTTGAAATTCGGTGGCAGCACGAACTTCGCCCCCAAATTCTCTATCACAAAGTCTTGGATGGCAGGGATGACTTTGTCTGGGCGCAAGCAACGCAGCACCAGTAGCTTCTGGAACCCCGTTAGTCGGCTGGCAAGCGATCCAGGTAAGAGCATCTTGTGCGGGTCCAGCGAGTCAAACAGTGCTTTCCAGTCAGGGAGGTTGGCTGCAACGTGATCACTTAAGCCTCTGAAGGCCGCAACCTTGGATAGTCGGTCAAGTTCTGTCCATGACCTTCCAGTAATCCAGCTTGGAGCTGGATTTGGAGCTGGTTCATTACTGGCCATCCCCCCTGCACCATCAGACACGCACCACGGAACCACGTTTGGTTCAGATCGAGTTGAAAACGCAGCATTTGTGTTGTGTGTGTGAGTGTAAGTCTGTGTAAAGCTTGTCGTTATAGAGAGTGTTGATTGGTGTCAACATGAGACTGTGTTCTTCAGTTCCCTCTTCACACCCTCGTAGTGAAAAAGGTTAGATTGTCATCATCATCCTCAATGTGACTCTTAATTTCGTCTCTCGATTAAAACCCGAAATATTCCATCAAAATCCGAAGGTATTTCATATGCTGATCCCACAGCTTATGTATCGGGTGATGTGCCCACATTGCAGAGAAAACTAAAGTTTTATGTAGAGCGCGTACTTTTGTGTAGGAATTTGAATATTCAGTTATGCACAACGCAGTATGCATACATCAACAAAAGATAAACGAGCTGGGAAGACACCATAAGATGTAAGATCCATGCAAGGATGATATGAGTGTAATAGAATACCCGTGAGAAAGAATAGCCAATCTTGAAGGTTCACCTCCCCACGCATTCTGAGCAGTCTTGTACATAACAACAACGAGAATAATAGTTTGTCCTTTTCAAACAGTGATCGGCAAACATTTAGGTAAAGTGAGTATAGAAAATGTGCCGCAATGATATCAAGCCGCTTCCCCAAGTCGGTGGTCTTGTCACTGTTTTGAATAGACATGATGAACAAAGACACAAACCAGGGCAAACTGTATTGATACATGGGATCAATGTTAGCCAGGTCGGATATACAAAAAAACAGAACAGCAGTGTACACTCCGGAGGGAGCATAACCTTTCCGAGCCTCGTCAATCTCCTTCTCGGTGATCTCTGCTTGAGCCTGCAGTGCCATCACACACATTAGGATACTGATGCGCCCTTCAACGGCGGTGTAGGAAATGCCGAAGGTGTGCGACTCAGTTTAGGTTTGTTACTTGTTTTATTCCGATGTCGGTACCGACGATTTTGGCTTCCGAAATGATTCGGATGGCGGACTCGTCTTCCAGGATGTTCCCCTCACTGTTGGACAGAACCTCCAGGATCTGGTCCTCCAGCTCCTTCAGCTTCCGCTTGTTCTCCGCGCCACTAAGCACAAGCTCATTCTTCTGCCGCTCCAGGTCCGGCAGCTCTTGCGCCACCACCACCCCCAGCAACTGATCCGCCAAGCCCTCCGGCGTGATCATGAAGTTCAACAGCGTCACTTTCACGGAAGTTTCCGGGAGATAGTGCGGGTTCCGCAGCTTTGTTGTTATGTAGAACTTGAAGTCGTTGTTATATTCGACTATGGTGTCGCCAAGCTTGATGCACATCATTCCAGCTGATTTGAAAATCTGCCATTCATGCAGTTGAGAATGGTGAGTGACTGTGTGTGTGTGTGGGAGAGAGAGCGAGAGAGAGACATATTACAGGGTCCTTTTTTTAGCATAAACTGCCGCCAATGAACAGTCTGGGCAACAGTTTTGAAGGTCAAAACAAGTCGAAGCCAGCGTACTTGTTTCAGCAGCACAGGCTCCAGGGAAGGATCGAGTTCTTCGCCAATGTTCTCGAGAAGAACAGGTTGACCGAATTGAATGGCGTTCTCAAGCGTTCGTATATAGTCCGTGCCGAGTTTAATGATTTGTAGGTTTCGTTCCTTTTCCATGTTTCTCACCCACTTATTTGCTTGACCCTGTTAAGATTGATCCACTCCCACTTGCTACCCTTTTATCATTGTACTTACAATTTTCCTACTTACATAACACTTTCCACAGTGACACACAGGTGTATGTATGTGTGTGTTTCTATATGTACATATATATAGAGCGAGAGAGAGAGAGAGGGTCTGTTTTATCTGGCTGTTTATTGGACGGAGGGATACATAACATGAGAGTTAAGTTTTGTTGTAACCTGGGGATCGATCATGAGAGGCCAGCGACGAGCATTGGCAACAATGATACCGTTGTCAACCGACACAGGATCATTGGGTAGTCCGAAAATCATCCATTCTCGGATCTCAACTGGATTCCCTAGTTTAGATGTTAAAGTGTAATTCGCTGAATGAGGGATTCTCAGGTCTTTGATAATCTTCCTCCACGCCTCTAAAATCCTCTGCCGGTATCTAACACACAATAAAAACAGAACAAAAGTGAGTTACTAACCTAAAAGGTTGAATATCACAATTTGGAAAACATTGCGTGTTTTGTGTGTGTATGAGTGTTATGAGTGTTATGAGTGTTCGCTTTCGGCCAATTTTTTTCACATTATTCGAGAATTGGTTCTGTGATGGAATCTTAAGGAGGATATACACACCCAGAGGTAAAAGCACCAAGATAAGCCACAATGGCGGCGGAGAGCAGGCTGTCTCCAGTCAACGCTGGATACGCTTCGCCCAACTCTTTGGCTTGAGCAATCCACCGGATTCTTTCACCTTTAAGTCCACCGATGAGCTGCTCCGCACGCTCAATCTTTATCGTGCACATCTTCACTTCATGCTACACAATTCTCCATCACCCACATCCACATTCTTGAGTTTCTAGCCGGAAACACAGAAGTTCTGCTTCGAACAAAAAACATACATGCTGAACGCTACTTCTTCAAACAAGCCGATCACTTCACAAGTTTGTGAGGACCCATGAGCACTCACCTGCAGAGTTTCCTTCATAATCATGTTAGAGTCAAGATCATCTTCCAACTCCTGCAGTTTCGCAAGGATGCCTTTTAAGTCCGCTTGCTTTTCGCGCAACCCAACCATAACAGTCTCGTACGCCGCCTCCGCCTCCATGAGCTTTGCTCGCTTCGGGGCCACAACTTTCGCAACGGCGTCATACTTATCCATGGCGATGATCCATTTGCAGAGGCCCTCTGCAGCAGCCGACGCGTTGGCAGCCTTAGCAGGCGTGAACTCCGGGTTGGCAACATACACGTTGCGGATCTTATCGATGATGGGGGCTTTAATGTTATCCTTGTCGTAGTCCTTCAAGTTTTGGAGGAAGTTTTTGTCATTCAGGAGGATGATGGAGGGCTTCCAGAAGTCCATGATCTGGCCTCCTTTGCCGTCGGGTACTTTGGCAGGCTTCACCTCCAGGATTACGCAAACAGCCTCCAGCACTAGCTTGATAAGGTAGGGAGGATTTGCCAGCTTCTTCACGTAGTTGATGTCGTTCACGGAGAGCGTGTCCAGCGCTGCAAGTGCCTCTTCTAGCACTGGCATCGCCACGGCCAGTGCGGCCTCGCACTCATCCTTGATCACTTTGGCTGCGCTCGCTGCTTTGTTTGCCTCGGCCTCGTCTACCATCACCACCGCCTTCTTTGGCTCCACCTGCTCACCACGATTCCACACAATCTCATTCATTCATTCATTCATTTATCTCTCTCTCTCTCTCTCTCTCTATATATATATATATATATATATAAGAATATTGCTAATGCCACCACAGTTATTGTTACTATCATATTCAATTCACCACATGTTACTTTAATATATATATATATATATATATATATATATAAACTAAAATACATGTGGAATGGAACAATTTGTGGTGGAAACAGCACAAAAACTGTGGTAACTATGGCAACACCCTATATACATTCATACACATGCAGAAAAAAAAAATCTATATATACATATATATATATATATATACACACACACACATGTACACATGTATTATATAGTTTTACTAAAGAGATAGAGGTTTGGGTTAAGCAGTTTTTTTTTGTATTGTGTTTTGTACGTTACCTTCTCCACTTTTTCTTTTTCCACTACGTTCATCATCACTTCCACTTCGCCGACCTGGACATGCAAGGTGTCCCAACTGTGAGATTTCCTCTGTTTTGTTCTGAATGCCAATACCAAATCTGTGATTCTATCTAATTCATTTTACTTGACCGATTGGTGTTTTGTGTTTGTGGAACTCCTCAGTCAAGAGAGGAAAGCAGAAAGGCTTTTATAATCTGTTGGACTGAATTGTTGTGATCAGAATTCTTTTCTAATTGGAGGATATATTTGGATGAATTCTGAAAACACATGTTTTGAAATCATGATTTCAAAACATGTGTTTTCAGAGTACATGATTTCAAAACATGTGCATGTTTTATTTATTTATTTATTGATTGGTTTATTTATTTATTTGTTGTTTCTGTAAAGTGTGGAATTGTGAGTTTTTGTTGAATCAAATGCATTCGATTTCAACATAAGAAATATATAGCAGTGGTCATTCAAGGTGTTTAAGCAATTTTTAAAGCAAATGTAATTAATTTGGAGCATATTGGATTTTAGATGAGAGTTTACAAATGATGCAAAGGAGTACCGTTTTAATGAGTTTGGGCATCAAGTCTGTGAGTTCTGCTTGCATTGCGGCAACCTGTTGAGAACTAGATGCAAGCTTTCCTAATCCAACTTCATATCTCTTCTTTTGTTGTACATTCTCTTTCCTCTTCGATTGTAAAATAGACTGTATTAAGAAGCCAAAAAATCATACATAAATATAAGTATAAATATATAAATGTTTTGTCAGATATTTTCCAACTTAAAGAATGCATCTCTTTTAGAAATATAATTATACTACAGAATACAACCAAGTAAAATCCAAATTCTACAACCTATCCGTGAATTTTATAAACTACTTATCCAATTTTATTTTATTTTTATACACAAACGAGAAGGCCTTATTTGTGTCAGTGAATTCATTGAACATTATGCTTGTAAAGAGGACCCTAAATTGAAAAAAATATAAATATAAAGTTAATAAAACTGGTGAAGTAAAATAAATTTTGTGTATACCTGAAAGCTAGAAATAAGCTCCAGAAATGAGGTGGGGGTGAGATAATTGAATCGGCCTAGGCTCTCTTTGTACTCAAGTGAATAATTACGAACAGATTCATGAAATGTCTAAAACAAATACATATTGTGTTAAATTCTTGTATATATCAATACCATGTCATGTTGAATATACAGTAATATGTAATTTAAAATTTTGATTCACACACAAAAAAAAAAAAAAGAAGTATGAAACTAATAAAAATAAATAAAAATAATACTCACTTTACATATGGTAACAATACTATCACACATTTCTTGCTCCAGATCCATTGGCGTCAAGAATTTCAAAGCAACAGCCTCTAATGCATCATTTGGCCACTCCTACATTAAGAAATTTTCAAAAGTTGTCACTTGTTATATGATTTTTCACTATTTTCACTTTTTCCATGAGTTTTTTTCAAGCACATATCCATGTAGAATGAAAATAAAAACATTTTTTTGTTTTTTATTTTATTTTTTAGAATTAATTATTGAAAGTTCCACACCTGAAACCAATCAATGGTGCAACAATTGACAAGTGATGGGAATTGGCGGAGACGATCCTTGAATGATTGGCCTACTGGACTCATTGCAAAAATGATATGCAAGTTGGCTTTGGTTTTGTCAACAAAATACTTCCAAACATCAGCCATAGTCTCTAAAAGCAAACCGGCCTTTGAGCTTTTATCTCGTGCGGCCTCCATGATTAGGGCTTTTTCATCACTTGGATACATATTTGGCACTTCTCCAGAATTCAACAAATTGTTAATATCCTCAACAAATCCCTCATCCACTATTTGAGTGTCACTAAACAAAAACACACTTGGGATGCATGGATCCGCGCCGGCTTTTTTACACATCAACATTAAATCATCCCGCCATTCTATCTTGCCATAGCTTTTACTTATTTCTACCTTCACCACCAAAAACCAAGTTTTACTTCAAGATGCTCTAAATTGAATTATATTCTGTGGTTCATTAAAACCAATACTTTATTGCAACTTATTAGAAATTTATTGTTTCATTTGATAGTATAGGTATTTTTGTTAACATTTTTTCATGGATATGAAACACAATCAAACAAATAGGGTTTTGTCATACTTGGAAAACTTCCATTCCATAGATGGCACCAGCAAGTCGTGTCAAACTCTGGCGTCCACTGCCTCCAACTCCAACAAGGAGCATGTGGCCTCCAGGTTGTTTTAGAACCCTACAAATGCGAGACACGTGCTCTACCACGAAAAGAAAGATGGCCAAATTCATAGGCCTTTTGCTGACTCCATTGAAATCTGCTAAATATGTTTCTACTTGTTTGATTAATGCTGAAATATCTGTAATCTCATTATATTTTCTTTCCTCTGGATCTTCAATTGTGTAATCCCCAAAAAAGTTTCTAATTTGCAAGTAAAAGAAAAGAACATAAAGATACTATACATGAATGTAGATAGATAGATAGACTCATTTGTGGAGCTTATAGTATTGTAGAAACTTCAAAACTATTGTACTGATTTAGCACAAGTAATCTCTCTCTTTCTCTCTCTCTCACACACACACACACATATATATATATATATATATATACATATAAATTCTTGTGTGTGTGTTGATATGCATGTGATTGTGGAGCATATAATACTGTAGCAACCTAATAGCAATTTCAAAACCACTGCACTGAATTATCACAAGTAATTTCATATGTCAATGCAAATAAATGATAGCACAATACAAAAAGTTTACCGCCGCAATTCAAATTGTGTAATTTTTGAGACTCCATCACCAAGAAGGTGCTCAAAAAGTTGATGGAAGTCTTTTTTGAAGTGTTTTTTAGTCATTTTGCAAAGATAATTAAGCATCCAATCTCGGTCTTGGTCATCAACCAAACGATCATAGAAAACCCGAAGCACCTCATGGACCCAAAGACGTATGTGTTGGTCCTCACCTGATTTCCCAATTGGAATTGTGTCTGGAACTTGCAACATTATTCCCTGTAGCCAAAAAATGTCAAATGTCTTTCTGATAATCTTATCCAAAATTTGCTATAACGACTATAAAGTACTACAAGTTACTTCAATGCTATTTAGAAAATTCATGGTTGGGAGTTTGATTTTCATGTTTAATGTCAAAGATATGAAAATAAAATAAAACCAATACTTGGATAACTCGAGCATAATCACGCAGATTAAATGTATAGTGAGGTTTTGTTGGAGTGGGCAACAGTTTATTTTTGGCTTCATTATAAATATCCAGAGTTGCCACAATGACTCCATTCAAACACTTTTTGATGTCCACAGGAAAGTCGTTTTTGACAGAATAGTGCCATTCAAGGATTGTTGAGAATATCAGGTGTAAAGATTCTTCGCCAACCTTATATTCAAGGACCCCACAAAATCAAAATAAATAAATAAAATCACTTCTATGATACATTTACAAAACGATTGTGTCTCAAGTTTGCTGATGAAACATCATACTTCTATATCATAATGCATTTTCAATTTTGTGTGCCATCCGCATATTAAACTTAAAAGTATGATCTATCCATCTTATAATTATTGCCATTATTTTGTTTTATTTTTTAAAATAATAGTAATGGAATACCAAGGCTACTCCAATTTGATTAAAATGTCGCAAATATCGATTGCTAACAAAACTCCGTCCGCCTCCTGGAGGACCCATGGCAGCCACAAATTGGCAATCAACCAATGTGCGAAAGTCATTGTCTCTTCCATACCATCCTCCAAAGTCCATATATTGTCGAAGTAGTTCAATGGGTGGTTGAGCTCCATAAACCTCCGGCTACCAACATCCCCAAAATTTTATCTAGTTTATATTATTTCAATCATATCATAACTGATTTCATGAAAACAGTTGAAACGTCGATCTAGCACAAACTATACTGTTAACTTTTGTCATGTTGATCGGGTACATTGATTCCAACCACTGTGAAAGCATTTTGATTGTTGTATCACTCAAAGCACTTCAAAGAACGGTTTGAAAGCACGATTAGCAAAACCTTTTTGCAGAAGTATCTTAAGTTATGACAGATAAACACTATTGTTAATACGGTATTGCAAGAGTTGCTCAAATGCAATGAATGTACCAAATGAAGTATCAAACACAAGTTTGTCAGAAACAGTGGAGATTGCTCACAGAAGGGAGTAACTTCGTAAACCATGGTACCGGTGAAAAGAGCAGTTTTGTTCATTGCAAAGAGAGTGGGAATATTGCAATGAAAAGAGGGAAACAACTATACTTGCGGCATGTTCAAGTCATCGACGAAGATGATGGATTTCTTGCCGACAGGGGGTCCGAACACGCCACGGCGCCGGCGATCGAGCGAGTTGTCGATCTGGCTCTGCACCATGTTGGCCGAGGTGCGCGCCGACAGCACCACCAGCAGACTGGTGAACACGTCCCGAGCCAGCCCCTTCAGCAAATGCCGCAACACATACACCGTCTTACCCGTGCCTGTGCCGCCCACCAGCAGCAGTGCGCTTCCGTGCATCACACCTTTGTCTAGCAAATACGTGTACCGTTGCTGGTCTTTCGTGGGGATGATCAGCTGATCGAAGGACGCGCCATCAGGGATCGGCTCTGGAGTGATCGTGTCCACCCAGGTGCGCCACTTGCAGGTGGGTTTGTCGAACATGAAGTCATAGACCGTGAACTCGCCTTTGTTGTTCGGGAACATGTCGAAGAGCAGCGCGTCGTGGTGCGCCGGCACCACCAGATCGAAGCCGTCGGGTATGATGCCCACCACCAGGTCTTGTAGAAACTTGTCGAAGACGACGCGGCCCTCGTTGTCGCCCGTGCAGCCGATGGACCACACCAGGGAGAAGAGGAACAGGGCGTCGATCCACTTCACGAGGCGCTCTTTGCCCACGTTGGCGGCGCCCTCCGCGGTGCGGATCTCTCGCGTCACGCTGTCGAAGGTTCGCATCAGGCATGTGACTAGAGATGCGTCGGACGTCGGGGAGATCTCCTTCACGTTCCTCCGAACGCACCGCAGCGAGCCCCCGACCATCCACTCGAACAGCCCTTGCAGGTGCTTCCGGTTGTCTCCAGCGATGGTCGGGGGCAGCGTGTGCATCCATGATTTCATCAACGGCGCCCATCCCATTTGGTGTGGCTCCAAGTACACCATCCCGCACCGGCTTACTGTTGCCGGAGATGCCACCGCAAGGTCTCCCACCTGATCTCCTTTCATGCCCCCCATCATCTCATTTATTATTCCCCTTAAAATCATAAACCACTGACATACGAAACTAAACTAAATCGAAACAAACGCACACAAACACAATATATCACCTCAAAGATCATGTTCATGGAGGAGGACATTTGGATAATTTCACTGTTGGGAAGGCAGAGCTTCTTGTTGTCATCCAGCACGGTGTTCATGTTTTCAATCCAAATGGCGTCCACAGGACCATCGAGGATAATCCATTTGCGATCGTTAGTAGGTTCGGAAGCTTGCTCTCGGAACCGCACAGCCAACACTCCGTCCACCCATTCTCCCGTCATGGGATCCGCTTGCCCATACAACTGCCCCATGGTCACCGACTTCGGGTTCACCGTTGACACCTACACCATCTCAATCATTGGAAAAAAAACACAACAACCATAACAAAGAAACCAATCAAAACATAAACAAAACCAACAACCATGATCTCAAACTGACATTATAGTCTGTTATAACAACATTGAGTTTAATCATGTTCCCGTTTTTGTAGAACGCCATATATAGAATCACACAACAACTGCACCGCAGATGCACCTAACGTACATAAACTTTGCGTTCATTGTTGTTACCCCATTCCGACATGTCCGAGAGGGACTTCTGTAGCACCCTGATTGCGCTCGTCTTCCCCGAATAGGAAAGCCCGACGAGCATGAGCCCGTGCCGCACGATGATCATTTCATACAGCTGGATGAGTTTCAACATGAAGTATGCCGTGAACTGCAGGTTCATGAGCTTACAGTTCGCCGACATCGCCTTGTCGAGCAACGTGTAGTCAGGCTCGGGGAGCACCACACCAGGGAACAGATCCGACACGATGCCATTGAACAACGGCACGTCTTGCGACAAAAACTTGCAGAGGTTCACGTCGATGATGGATCGGAGCATGAGGATGAACTCCTCCTCGTCTGGGTAGCGTTGCTTTAAGTTGGATGCTGCTCGCAGCACCGCCATCACCGCCCTCATTCCATAGTCGTAGTGATCTTGGCTTGACAACTGCTCGCTGCACAGGCGATACGTTGCAACGATCTTCCTCGCACAGTCTCGTGCCTTCCCTTCCACAACACACACACACACACACACACACAACTATCAATACAAAAACAGTGCAAATATCAGCACTAATATAGCACTTTCTTCTTTCATGAAAGGTCAAAACTTTTACTTGGGTTATGTATTGTAATGATACAGTGCCTGTCACAAATGAAATGGAATCTCATGAGAATGAATTTAATTACTTGTAAGTAGCCGCTGCTATATAACATGATTTCACTAATCATGGCATAATCAGGAACCATCATGGCCACAGTTCGAAACAAAGCTTTAAGATTATCGGGCAATTCAGAACGGCCAGCGTATCCTGGATTCATTGTAATAAAAACATTGCAGGTGGGTCTCAACGTTAATTCTGATCCTTCAAACATGAATGTTTTGACTTTATTTTGAACTGCAAGTTGGATTTCTAGCACCTAGACAAAAAAGAAAAAAGAATAAAAATTGTGATTAATATTCATAAGTGTATCATCGTGAGTTTTCTGGAGACTTAAAATTTGTTGGTACATATTTTATTCTGAAAAAAGAATATAGATTAGGTTAGATACATTAAAAAAAATAAATAAATAAAAATAAACAAATCTTCAAAATTGATATTCTATTGATGATGTGTCACAATCATAAATAAAAAATGAGTTTAATGGTCAATGGTAAATTTTGAATTAGAAGAATACATGTAGTGCAGAAAAGGAAAAGGATTAATCTTGAACATGTTTTACTTTATAATTTTCAATATCATTATTATTATTTTATTATGATTATTGTTTTTAAATACTTACTTGTTGAGCCACAACAGAGAGGACTTCAAGATCAATTCGGTTGAACTCATCAAAGCATGCCCATGCTCCAGAAGCAGCAAGCCCTTTAAAAAATTTGGCCATGGCAAAGTAATCTAAACTATCAGAGCAATTGAAGACTACACACTGTCTTGCAAGAGCCTGGAACAATGAAATGATATTAATATACACAAGTGTGCTGATATATATATATATATATGCATATATATATTTAGCTTTCTGAACAGAAATAAAACCAATGAAATGATGCAATGAATATATTGTTTAGCAATGAAAGTATGAATTGATATCGTAGTTTGAATAATTTAAATATTTTTTATATAATAAGAAACTAAATATACCTTTGCTAAATCCTTAGTAGTCTCAGTTTTTCCTGTTCCTGCAGGACCTTCTGGAGCTCCTCCTAGATTCAGATGAATTGCACCCATTAATGTGCGATAACATCTGTATGAAGACATGTTGTCAAATTTTATTATTATCATTATGCTTATCATTATTTTCATCATTTTTTATAATTGTTGATCTTCTCTTTGCATTCACAAATGCATTCTTGTACAATCCACACACACATATACGCAAGTAGTTGGGAGAAAAGATTATATATATATATATATATATATATATACATATACAGACATACATATAACACATTATTAGAGGTAAAATCAAACATATATATTTTTACTAAAAATATATATATATGCACTTTTTACTATATATATATATATATATATGTATGTCGCTCTAATTTTAATTACTTATGTGCTTGGACCCATTGTAAAGAGGTGCTAACCTGTCTGTGAGGGGAGTAATAACAAGGCGAGAGGAATTCCCGAGATACTCATAGCCATACTCAATGGTGGCATTCATCATGCATACCATGCAAGTGTGTTTCTCCCAATACATACGCAATTGGCTTTGCCAACAAAAATCACTTTCTTGTGTCACACACTCCACTGCCAAGAGATGCACCGTGTCCCTCGCATGCACATCCATCACCACAAGCGCACTCAACGTCATCCGATTAAGCCCCGTCAATTCTCCCCGCACCAAGCCAACCACACCCCCCAATTGCTTTGTGCATACTCCTTCAAACTCCGACACCGCATTTCCGCCACTCTTGATGCATTGAGTTGTGTCTGCGGTCCAATAGATGGCACTCGCCACCAATACCACTTGTCCTGGCCATTCTAATATCCATTGCATTCTTGGCACTACCACATATGCTTGCACCCCTCTTTCACATTGGTCTTGGATGGATTGTAACATGCCTTCTTCTACCTAGTCCAATGGAATCCCATTCAATATGTCAATCTATTATAATTTTTTTGTTTTGTTTTGTTTTGTTTTTTTTTTTATTATTATTTTTTAATTTTTTATTATGTTACTTTGATGATCTTTGTGAGGGAAAAAATACATGTTTTTGCAAAGACTTGAAGTTTATTTTGTGTTTTTGAGGGGATTTAATCTTACCTGTAATAGCCACTTTTCTACTGATCCTTGAGCGGCCTTGGGATTGAACTTGTCCACAAGAGGAACAATTTCTCCCTCAGCAGATATCAAAGCAGTGATATCCAAATTGGACTCAAATTGCAGTGAACTGATTCCTTCAAAGCATTTCTTTAAATGAGGTTGAACCCGCAATGGGTCTTTGGTTTCTGATAGAATCTCCAGCATTTCATCATTTGATAGGAAAAAGAATCTTGGAAAAGCAATTCTTTTCACCTTCATGTAAGAAAAAAAAAAAAGAGAAAAACAACATGAAAAAAAAAGAAAAGAAAAAAAGAAGGTTAAATCTTTGTGAACAAATCTATCTTGTGTTTTAAAACATATGCATGTGTATATGAATAAAAAATGATTTTGTAAGTGTTTGAATAATTGTACCTCCAAGTATTGAGCCAAGCCTTTGTTTACAAGTTCTAATATGCGATTTGCTTCTTGGAGCCTTGAAAGGCGTTCCAAGTCTTTGCCACATTCTAAACAATTGGGAACTGCATAAGTTTTTTTCATCACGTCCCTCCAAGTTTGATCAACGATTTGAAACAACTCACCTTCAGTTGGCATTTGGCGCATTATGTCTCTAGACCCAAAAATGGGGCCCAAGTATTGCCATGTGCCTTGGCAAGTAATCCAATTGTCTACCAAAGATTGGAGGTCCAAAATCAATTTTCTCCATGCAAATGCTTCATGTTCAAAGGGCTTCACAAATGGAGATGCACACATAGATAAAATTTTCACTGTTTGCTCATCAAGGATCATTTGGATTTCATCTATTCCTCCTACAATGAATGTTCCCGAGTCCTTATATGGCATCACCATAAACTCCATGCCTTCCCAATCTTTGAGCATTTTTTCTAAGGACTTCTCTAAAGAATATTCTTTACTTGCCACTCCACTTATGTTCCGTACCTATGTATTGTATGAAAATTTTCTATTTATATACATATAAATATATAAAAAATTAAAATTATAATAATAAGAGCTCAACCAAATCAAATTGAAATAAGTATTTTTCAAAGTAAGGAAAGAATGAAATGAATCACCTCTTCGATTTTATTCAAAATCCCAAACTTTAAAAGGTCATTGGTGCTAAAAGTGGCATTGGGAACAAACGGTTGATCCAAGACGGCAAACACTTGCTCCCAATGGCGTTGTTTTAAGGCGGGATTGGCAACTTCTTCTATGAGAGGGACCACTTCTTTGAAGGCTTCAATGTTATCCTTGAGCCGATAAACAACCACGTCCTCTTTGTTGGCTTTTCCCATTTTGAAGGCTTCTTTAGAGAACTCATCCACTTTTCCGGTGATGGTGGATGCATTGAGTTGTTGCACGGGAGATGCTAGCCACTCGGTTGTCATTCGGATCCAATCATCCAAAGCCTTCCATACATTCCACCTTGACGCAAACTCTTTTTGTGTTTGTTGAAGATTGCTCATGTTGTCTATTTGCATCTAAAGAAAAATATATTACAAAAAAAAAAAAAACACACATTCCATTAAACCACATTGGTTGATTAATAATGATGTGCACTATTTGAACCATATCTTTCAAATATCTTAAACTACAATTTATATTATATAATAAGTTGTATGTGTGTGTATGTTACCTTGAAGAGCCTTTGGTATCCTTGGTAGCATGCAACTAATTCAACTATTGATAGGATTCTTTCATTGATCTCTGTAAGACTTTCAACCACTGTTGTGGGAGCAGATGCTGGTGATAAATATAAATCTGTGTGCAAAACTCCCAAAATTGTCATGAGCTTATCACTGATTTTTGAAATCTCAGTGTTCAAATCCTCCATTTTATCCAGCTTTTGCTCTTGAATGTGGAGATCTGCACCTTCAATAGAATCTTCAAATGTGTTTACAATTTCATGTAAATCGTCTAATTTTACTGAATCATTTGTTGGTATCTTCACCTCATAGGCTGCTAATAATTCATACATATCATCAATGATAGATGCCTCAACTAAAGACTGTTTCTTTTCAGCCATTATTTTGTTGTAACCCTACATTTTGAAGGAAAAATAAATAAATAAATAAATAAATAAAAATATATATATATGAATCAATAAATAAAAATAGACTATACTTTTATATAGCATATTAGGATACTTTTCAAGACTTATATTCCATATGACCTATATTTTCTATATGTTTCAAGACCTATATTAACTTATTTTGAAAATGACAAATTGGTAATTTATTTATATTTATTATTATCTCTCTATTATTTGTATCATTTTAACAGCTTAAATGGTACCATTTCTTACAATACAATATGTGACAAACGCATCGAGTTGTAAAGGTCGTTGATCCAATAATGCAATTTTCTGTGTAAAAGAGTTTAACACAGCAATACAATCTTCTCTACCATGTTTGAGAAGAATTGCTATAAGTGTGTCCAATGTTCGAATGGTAATTGGAATGAGAGAATTCCTCAAAACCTTTGATTCAACTTGGAGCACTCCAATCACACTGTATTTGAAAATAATAATAATAATAATAATAATAAAATAAATCAAGAATAAATATGATAACTTATGTTTACAATTTCATAATTCAATTCTAGAATATCAATAATTTTTTTAAAGATAATATTTTCAGTTCACCAAAGATAATTCATAACTGAGGTTTACTACTGTTTAATCTAGAACATGTTTAATTAATAAAAAAGCATGGATGCAATTGTCAAAAATAAGTTTTTTTTACTATATTTGATACTTTATATCTGTCTAGCATTTCATATATTATTAAAGTAGATTATAATTGAATTATTTATTGTGTATTAAATGTTTAATTTATTTTCCAAATATTTTGAAATTTATATTTAATGGAAAGATTGTAATGAAATAAAAAAATAAAAAAGTATTTACCATCCAATTCTCATCTTGTCCAATTCTATCTTCCATTCACGTTGTTTAGACATTTCCTCCCTATATTGCCTTACAGACCTTTGAATGGATGAAAATGCTTCAAGATCCCATGCTTCTCCAAAATCATGCAGAGATCTTTGCTCTTCAAACACCTATACAATATCATTGCATCATGCTATATTTCACATTTATTTTATTTTAATCATAAAACTATTAAACAGTTAAAGAAAACAACACTAGATCCTGAAATCTGTAGTAATATTGTAAAAAACATCCATGATATTATATTTCATTCCAAACCTTTGACAAATTTTCAAAAATATATAAAATTAAACTATCAATTCCTCTTAATTTTTAACTTTGAATAGAGCTAGGTTAGAAAAGGAGCATACTTGTGCATATGCGCGAGCCTCGGCAAAGTCTAGTTTAACAATTTCTTGAATCCGTTGACGCACAATCCAAAAATATGGAGTTCCTTTGATTATATTGATGGCAGGCATTCCAGTGAACTTATAGTCAAAGAATTGTGAAAAGACACGCATGTAAAGGATACGTGGTGTGGCTTGAACAACTTGAAGAAGGCCTTCTATGGCCCCATGTAGTACCTGCATTTGATGTCACAATTTCTTCCTTACTTATCAATATTGAAAATTAAGATAAAATTACACATGCACCTTTTTAAAAACAATATTAATAATAGTAAATAGATAATCAATAAACATGTTCAATGTACAGTCGACATGCTTACCAAGTTAATAGAATGAAACACCCATCAATTGAGTTATTTATATGATGCCTATATATACATACATACATAATTTGGAAAATTGTATGTATGTTTATGTATATAAATTTGAGAGTGTGTGTGTGTATATATATATATATATATATATAACTCACTGAAAGAACATTGGCTTCGTCTGGAGTGAATTGCATTTTATCTTCTCCGAATGACAAGCTAGTTGTAAAAGCACCTTTAGGGTTTTTTTCTTGACCGTTTCTACAAATTTCAAGCATGCCTAGCAACTCCTCTGTGGAGGTAATACAGCGGAGACTCAGATGCTCCACAAACATATAATCTACCAAGCGGACATAATTCCCAAGCATTTTTTCTTCTGCCATCACTCTTTGATACATTTTTGCTCTCAAAATTTTCTCTGCTTTTATACTCACCATGCTTTGGAACTTTGCCTTGCCAGTTGCATGTAAGTATACCCCAATCTTATCATTCAATTCTGCCTCATCCCGAACACTTTCCTATAACCACAGTGTACATTTTTATTTTTATTTTTTGTAATTCCACTCATCTGATGACCCAAACATTTTACTCGTAGAGAATGAGTTTAACATTTGTACCTTATAAATTAGAGCTTGTCTTTTAGCTTCATCACAAACACCAGATACCACCTTTTGAATTTTGTCACATATTGCTTCAATAGTAGGAATGGCACTATGCCTTTGCAAATCCGATTGAGAGTGTGAAAATTCATCCAATTGATGGAGATGGTTTTGTGTCACGTAGACAATTGGAAGCTCAGTCAATTCATAGATGTATGAATATGCTGTAAGCAAGCCTTTGATGAATTGAGGCTTGGAATGGAAAAACCCTTTCACTAGTCTTTGTTTGATGCGATGAAATTTTATCATGCCAACGTATCTCTTCCATATGTTAATAGCTTTTTGATTCAAATAGAACTTGAAAAAATTAATCTTTCGTAACAACTGGTATACATACTTTTCACGCATGTATTCTTCTAATGTTTGAAAACTGCTTTCTAATGAATTATAAGTGCCTGATGCATATCTCACCATTACAATTTCAAACATCAGAAATTGAATATATCACGTAACCACAAAATCGCAAATTTAAATAGAAATAGAAAGCGAATATTACAATGATAATTTAAAAAATCAAAAATGTACAAATACATCGTACCTTCAATTGGTTTAATATGGACAACTCCAGATTTTGAAATAGTGTAGTATTCATCATTTAGTTCAAGTCTTTTACAAACATACATATCATATGGTTTGTATTCTCTTGGACTACAAGGAACTAAGTTACAATAAAAGAATTTGACACGAGGTTTATCTTGATTAGTTGAGAAAAAAATTATAGCTTGATCACCAGTTTTTATGTGTGAAAGCTCTAAATCCATCAACTCGTCTACCTAAGCATAAAGATAAAAGTTATACATGAACACAAATTATACATGTTAAACCTCCTAACATTTATATATGTGTATATGCATATATATATATATATATATATATATATATATAGAGCCAGAGAGAGAGAGAGAGAGAGAGAGAGAGAGAGAGAATAGTGGGTTGCGTTGTAAGATATGTTACCTTTGGTTTGTTTGTTTCATCCCTTCCTTCAGCAATGGAAGGTTTCTTCTTTTGTTTACAAGTCAAAACACTACAATTGCATTTGATACATTGTTGCCAAGTTCATTGCATATAAATGTATGTATATATAGATATATTCTCTCTCTCACACACACACACACACATACATATATATATATATATATATATATATATATATAAGATCGAATCATTCACTTCATTCCAAAGCATTGCAACGAAGGCAAAATAAACAACTTTTTACTCCTACCAGCTTCTTTAACTGATTGATTGAATGGAAAGAAAACCACGTCTCATCACTAAAACAATAACAGCGATAACAACAAAAGAAAATAATAACAGTAAAAATAATGTCAAATGGGGAGAGTGGCAAAAATAGCTTGTCTCATACCTCGATGAACGTTTTTTAGAACGCCTTCCATTCTCAACCTCCACAGGATCTCGCAACACATCTCTCCATTTACCCAAGTGGGTATATGACACACAGATGTCTTCTTCGCGTTGGATCTCTAGGTTCCTGGCGATGGCAGCTTCAACTCCAATGGGAGGGACAGGCTCACAGGGTTGCCAAAGAGTCGCTCCCCCAATGCCATCTTCTCTCGTTCGAAGCCGCCGTGTCGGCATTCTGTACAGAGCGTTCAATTCTTCCACCGAAGGTACGCAGTAGCCAGGACGTTTTCGGACGACAGATTCTTCAGGGCGCCAAACTCGATATCTGCCGATGCGGGTGGCAAGGTTCCTAGAAACGTCATCCTCCAACACCTCCATTGGAATTTGTCCACAAACATCGCCTTCGTTCGTGTGTTGGGTTGAAAATGATCTAGAGCTTCTACTTTTGGATGAGCTTGCTTCTGTCTTAGAATCGTCTCTCTTACTCGTTCTCTGGGTCGACGACCCGGCTCCAGGTGTATTGATATCTATTCCATGCGATTTTGTCATCTTGGCCACCGACAGTAATATATTTTTGGTGATGGCAGCAGTAACAGATGCAGGTTTTCTTTCATTCTTCTTTGCATCTTCCATCGTTTTACAATAAATTCAATTCTTTCGAAGATTTTCAGTTAAAGAAGCAAATAATATGATCTGTGAAAGACAAAGAAAAAGGTGTTAATGAACGAATCTCAAGAATAATCGAGTTTTGTTGAATCAATTTCAAAATGTCTGACACATTTCCCGAACAAGTGTAACAATAAGAATTGAACTGGGAAGATCCCTCCAATTTCTTTCAGGTATGTTTAATCCCAAGCAGATTTGTTCGTAACATCTCACTGAAGCCAATGTGCAGCGACTCAACGGGGATGCACAGACATGGACACATGAACAAAATCAACTCAAATGTTGGATACAAACTCACTGTACACCATTGCTATCCAACGTGAGATCTCATGAAAAACTGCAGACAGGCTAACACTTTCAACGTCATATGTAATAACGCTAATTCCTTCAGTCATTCCTATGATGCGGAAAACAATAACGTGAGTTTCTACAAGTTCGTACACTGGCCAAGAACATGAAACTGAGGATGGTAGACCCATCGGATGAGACAACCTTCTCAAGCAGCCACAAACAAATCAGAAACATATTCAATTTGCATTGCCCAAAATAGGAGAGATATACAATCCACCGCCTCAAGAAGCAGACTCCGTCAGGCACTCTGTCATTAACGCTGCAGTCAACGGAAATCGCAGATTTTCCAAAATTAGGGTTTCATTAGTACATGGAATTCCCACAAAGTCCGTAGAGCACGCCAACCCATGACACCTTCCATGCCAGTGTTGAATAACAAGACTTTTACAGCAATCAACAAACTCAAGACAGTGAAGCACCGCATTCTCGACGAAGCCACGAAGCTCCATCACAGTGACTCTACTCAACATCGAACGCCTACAGCTGGGGTTGGACCTCAATTCGTCGCTACTTGCGAACTCGAAGAATCAAGCGCTCAGCACGCAAGACATTAATCCTAATCTTCAATCTGTGACGAGAATATCCTTCAAGAGCAATGAAAGTCTCCGAAGCTCACCCAACTTGGATCGTTTTGACATGAATATTTTTGGGCAAAAGTGACGAAGGTCGATGGACGAAAATCTTTCACGCCGAGTATCTGACATCGTCATGGGCTTCCACGACTCGCAACGTCGCGCCAGTTGTCGCGGCGCTGATGCAAAGTGAGAAGCCTCATGAACAAACCTTCTCGCGAAATCACAAAGCTGCTCCCAACATCTGAATGAGAAAAGTAACCTAAAAGTCCCTTTTTTTTTTTTGTCTTTTTTTTGAACATTTAAATAAAACTTATAATTGATATCATCCACATATCTAATGTCAAATGTGTAAATTTATTTAGAAATTTAAACCTAGTTAAGGAATTTAAGTCAATGATTTGAACCAAGTTGACCAAATGATATGCCTTTTATTCTTAATTAAGTATTTGTGAATAATATTCAAGTGTTTTAACCTTTTTTCCAAAAATAACTTTCTAAAACTTGCGGAGAAATTAACAATAATAAATATTGATTTATTTGGCTTTTATTTCATTTTATTTTTCTCAACCATCATTCGTCAAAATTTTGACGTATGCTCCAGCATTGCGTGATTTTTATTGTGCACACAACATCGTGTTGGTTACTACATTCATTGAGTTATTTTTTTAATGTATGCATAAATTAAAATTCTACTTGAGATACATGTATTTGTCAAAAACTAGATGATGCTTCTTACAATTGCAATAAAGACCACCGTATTTCAAATTCAGTGACGTAATGTTTATGCATCCAAATTTTAAAAAATTATGTGTAATAACTACGATGTTGGAGTTCAATAGAAAGCCAGGATTGGCAGTTTAATGATCTCGCTATTTATTTATCTATTTTTGTATAACTTATTTAGGAGACCAACTTGTCATGTTAGAAATACAAAAACATAATCTGAGTGATGTGTATGAATAGCTACTGCTTTGGCAAACTTGAAATTCAGTCTAAAGAGGTTTGAGCGTCATTCTCAAGCCTCAAGTAGATGACTCAATCAATACAGAATTTCATTTCGCTGAGGCTCCACCGTCCAGCATGTCCAAGCTTTCAATTCCTAAGAATATCTAACAAAGTTTTCCAGGAATCTCTCCATGGGTGACCAGAGGTCGTCTTTAGACCTGAGGGGGTGAAGTTATTCCAAACTGGGGAGGATTCCATTACGTGGAAACGTGCAGCTCATGCTGCAGGGGGGACAAGATACAACTTATCACCTCCAACACTACCAAAACTCAGATTGCCCACAAGAAGAATGTTCTACCGCACACCCAGATGACCATTCCATGCAGGATGAATGAATCAACTCGACACTCCACCATCATGTCGCGAGGTGATCCCGAACAACATAACCAAGTGGATCTGACGGGCTGGCACCAGGCCTGCAGTTAAGCCATAAGTCCACCAGTTTGATCAAATTATTACATTAATATGCGAAAACTTGACTGGACGATATAACAACTGGGCTAACTTTGAACATGTAATAGATAAAACATGCAGGAGCTCAGAATGTCTACAAGAGGATGGTGCAATCTCATGAACAAATGATGTACAAAGCAGGTGATAGGAGGTGATAGGATAACAAACAAACCCAAGTGAAAGAACTAAGATAGTATTAGCAATATTGAATCATGCTGCTATAAACAAAAGGAGGATCTCATTAACACACTGACCTTTTAACAATAACCCCATGGTGATGTCTGATTCGGCCTGCCTTGACGTCTTCAATGTACTGAAATGATATCGATTACTCAGAAGAAAATTCCTCCACAGACAGAAACTCCAGCACATCACAAAAACTACATACGTCAAAAACCTTATTAGCAAGTCGAATGAGTTTGAAACTCACCATTTTTAGAGCGACAGTTACAGAAGAGAATGCAATCGAATCGAATGGTATCTCATCAAGTGAAAAAAGAGCACACTCCAGCGATTCCGGACCAGGAGAGAAGGTCGGCTGCTTGAATCGGGCACGAAATATTATATAGCTCTGCACTGCACATGACCGAGAACCTTTTACTGGATCTTAAAAAGAGTGATACCAGAACATCTGGATATCAAATCACGACAATGTCTACTTCTTGGAGCCTACATTTTACGCTAACAAACTCAGAAAAGAAGACCACATCAGATCCGAACATTATAATAGATGACCAGCTATGAAGTGTTTCAACCATTAGACACTGTTAACACATTTGAGACACACAGCCTTGAAGCTGTATTTAGAGTACTAACCTGGCCAATTAACGGGATATCCAGATGAGCAAAATGGGCAACAACTTCTACGTCTGCACGAGCTTCTTCCAAAGTCTCTCTTGCTGCACCTTCGGCAGCAGACTCCCCGAGCTCCATGTATCCTGCTGGTAGTGTCCTGCAAATACGTCGTCCATTATCACCCTTTAAATCAAGCATGAGTTTATGGGTCCAGAAACTAGTATTCATTCCACTTCACAAGCAGCAGAATTCAATTAAAAAAAGAAAAAAAGAAAAAAAGAAAAAAAGAAAGTCATTCTCTGAATAAAATCACATTGGTGCATAATCCCTCTGATCATCCTTGCAACAGTAGAATGGCTGCACAGTTTCTCACCAAAGACCATAAGAGGGCTCGATATTCCTCCTGCAAAGCAACACCTTGTTCTCATGCTCCACCAGGCAACCTACCACCTGTAGCAAATGTAGCAACTCTAAATGTCAGAAAAACAGCAAGACATCCATATAGCCGATCACAATACCCTCCATGACCTGGTGTTCGAGGTCAACTGACGTTACTGTGCAGAGTACGATGGCATCACAATACGAGAGGAATTCAGTCATACCATTTTAGGATTCTGATAATGTATTGAACCGCATTTTGAACAGACAGCTCGCAACTCATGCTCGCCCTCTGGAATCCGTTGCTGCATAGCTCCTCCGCATGATTGACAGAAGCTCACAACTGGTCTGAACACCTGCATAGATTACGAGTAAACTTCTTTTGCAAGAATTGGAGGCATAGACCCCACAAAAAAAACCTATACCTACCACAATCTCTGTTCAATAAGTGATTGAACTACATTCGTTGTATAATTGTCTGGAGTTGAAGGAAAATGGTGAAAAGCCTGGACCCCGCCATGAAGTTGCATATCATGAAAAGAGTCGATTTTCAGGAATTAGTTCACAATAAACTGATGAAAGAATTCGGTAAACTTGCAGGGGTATTGCATCCACAGCTAGTAATGAGAGAACGACACTCACATTATTGGACATTGGCATAAATAAATAACCATAATCCATTCAGACCTCCACTAAGAATTCTGCATCCAGCCCACTCTCGCAGATATATTGCAATCGAGAATATCACTTTTTCTGACCTTAGGCGTTTCTTGCACGTTCTCAGAGGTGGATGTCTCCGCCGCACTCGAGCTGTCACAATACATCACAGAACCCTGCCTCGCCTTCGACAGCCCTGCTGTCGAACCGTCCAACCTGCCTCTGATTGAGCTACTCATCGCCCGAATCCCAAGTAGCTCACCACAGAGGTTGTGTAACCGCAAACCTAAACCCATTCCAGTGACGCCATCGCAGACATGCTCATGAACCCTAGAAAACAAGCTCGTTCTGCGAACGAACGTCCCAGCTCCTGCGCCTCCCGATGATAACAACAGGCACGAATTCGAAGGCGGTGATGACAATGGAAAGAGCGATTGTGTCGTGAGGTGCCTATTGGACAACAATCCTCGTACCACACTGCCTCCCATTGATGAATCTCACCTCAAATCACGGTCAATCTCATCAAATTCAGCCGCTCCACGGACAACAAGAGCGACCACAAGGAGTTCGACTTCGATGATGCTCTTTACCACAATCACAGCAGCATCAGAAACACAAAACCTCGCACTCTCGAAGCACCGGAAGCTCAACAAACAGCAATTGGCCATAGTCGATCGCCATCTTCTGGCCATGACCAGGATGAGAGCCCCTGCTTCTTCTGTACCATTCTCGCCGATTTCGTCCATCATTCGGTTATCGTCCCAGGCTTCCACTTCGTTCGTCGTTTCTTGCCACCAGTCGTTCGGTCGTCGTCCGATATCACCTTTTCGTTCATTATCCACTTTTCGTCCACATTTCGTGGTCTCGTCCTCCTTTCGATGAATATCAAAGCTACAGTGTTGCGGTAATGAAAACTCTGTTCTAAATCCATCCACGACATCCGTTCGTCCCCGTGGAAGGATGGATGCAATCCTCTTCGACGCCTGAGGACCATCTTACCGAGAAGCGCAAGTTCACGAACTTGGATTTCGTAACTGAGATGCACTTTTCAATGCTGCAATCCATCTCTAGATCCCGGATTTCTAAATTCGTAGAGCTAATTTTGAGTTGCGGAGCTTTCGAAGGATGCGTGTGTGACAACGCCTACGATTTTTGCGAAGTCACTATTGTTTTTTAAACAACAGTTTGGAGCTAGTGCATTTGTAAGGACTTGCGTTGTAGGTTTTTGTGAGCTGATAGAGACTTAGTGAAATGCGTAGATAAGGTAACAGACGCTGCAACACTCGCTGACGAGTTAGAAGACATTTCATGAGAGGATATTGCAGTGGAGTCATGGTCTAAGCATGATAGAGTGGCATTTGACTGTTGAGTTTGTTGTTGAAGATTTTCGGATGGTTTTATGACGCTGAGGAGTCAATTGGCGTCATGCAGGAGTGAATTGTTTGGATGTGAGGACATGTTTATTTAGGGTGAGGCTATGGAAGTTGCCTCTAATCTGAGAATATTTGGGAGTATGACGATGGCTCTGGCAACAATGCCATCACTCTCAGCTTCGAATCTGCTAGGCGCTCAGAGTCCAACGCGTATGACGATTGGGCCGATCTTTGGAAGATCGAATTTCTTCTGTGGATTTTGCTCCTACGTGACTTGCCTGCAGATAGGGTTCGACAGGTGTGAAGTCCAAATTCATTGTAATGTTCGAATTGAACTGCTGCAAAATGTTATGTAAAGCTGTGTTTGAGCCTGTTAAATTCAAATAGCTTGAATATGATTGATTGTACGTTTTAGTGACATCGATAATTGCAAAGGGTTGGCCAGTGATAGTGCAGCTGTGTTTCGTTTTTTGCAGGAGAGGAGAACTAGTGAGGAGAGTTGGGAATGAGCGGACTAAGGCTACAATAGAGTTATTGCATAACGTCCTCGCCTATTTGAAACCTGTAAATTCTGATAACGAGTCTCAAAACCTTAAAAATCGCTGCTCGGCAACGTACAACCATTTCGACATTCATGAAGCTCGATTAGAGTACGAGTTAAAGGTACTGATTATGTTTTCAAAAAAATCCTATCTGAAAATCATTTGTGAAATGTAGCATGCAGTTTACTTAAGGTGTTGTGGCAGTCGCGTCCAGTTTCTGTGGAATCCTTGTTTCTGCTGATATGGTTGTGTCTGTTGTTACTTCTGTAGGATGCAGCCTGGTTGCGTGCGGATGCGTACTCTGAGCAGCAACCATTCACAAGGTCGGTTATGTTGGTCTTTGGCAAGGAATTAACGTGAATTGCATAATGTGAAGTCTATATAAAAAAAAAGTAATGAATTAACCAACTATAATGGCTAAAAGCCCATTTATTTTGAACTCACAAAAACCATTGACGTAGTAGCCTTTTCGTGAGGTTGACGGATCCATTAGTTTGTTGAGGTATTTTTTAGTGTGGATTTCTTAGGTATCAATAGGAACTGCTCTGCTCTTGCTCACGTCCTGTGTTGTAGGCCTTGTGTTCTTGACGCTCGTGTCTACTGTATTCCAGGTACGTTGACAGCTTTAAGAAAAAGTTTGCAGAGCAGGTGAGGTAATTCCTTTTTCCGCATTTAGATGCTCTTCCCATTGTGGAATTAGACTGATAGGTCACATACTCTGTATCGTAATTGAAGTTTGAACAATTTTTTAATGGGTGCTCAAATGTGGTAGGAATTTGCAGCACTGAAACGGCGCTTATCTGGCCAACCCGGTTCATACGTATGTCTTGTAGCGGTATTCCAGCCATACTTTTTCACTGAATTTTTACATCTCACCATCTCGTTGTTGGGTATCCCATTGGTTTAGTGTGGTCATAGTGGCAAATATTTCCAAAACATTCTTGTTGCCACGCAACTCGTCGCGATTAATGCTACTTCCACGTTCTTTAGTGATGAGAATTTGGAACTGCGCGTTTAGTCCCCTATCCTCCTGATTAGATTCTTCCGGGTGGATTTTCTTGTTATTAGCTGAAGGATCAGTTGCTCCTGATTTTTATGGCACCATCGAATGTGCATAATGTACTTCAGTAGAATAATACGATTTCTGACACAAATATATCCAGATCGAATTCATTCACATGAAGTCTTTTGTTCAGGTATCCAATACATTACCAACAGATTCAATTGAGGTGGACTGGCAAGATTGTGAGAAGGATAGACAAGTGCTCGGAACGCTTGATTTTAGTCTTCATCGCCCATCTCCTGGTGAATCTTTTGGGGGGGTATGTGCATGGCAATATTATATCTTCCCATCGTATTTAAGTTTTATATACATCTTGCTATTACATCCACGAATTGATGAACATTCTTCCATATTGCAGCACAGGCTACCATATGGCTACATTGCTAATGTATGCGTGGAGAAGTCGGCACGAAAACAGGGAATTGCTTCAGCACTGTTGGAACGTGCAGTGCAGATTGGGCGTGATTGGGGTAAATTCGCATTTTTCATACTGATTTGTACTTTCATCAGGATCTTTTACGAAACGTATCAATGTTGTGACTTTTTTGTTCATGTATCTTATCACAAATACTCTTAAATGTTAGAATTATAATCCGCGACCTTGTTGTGCGCCCCATGATCATCCTCATATGACATTACCACCAGATCGTGAATCGTCCTATCTGCTGTGAGGCTAAAATAGTGCAATTTAACAAGAATATACACTAGTCCACAGCAATATTTGCAAATATTATTATTTATCTGAGATATGGATACTTACGAGTTCTTCTTTATTTCCGCAGGGCTGAATGCAATTTATGTACATACACACGCTACTAACGAACCTGCCTTTAAGTTGTATGTGAAGAAGGGGTTCGAGGTAATGATTCGTATACCAACTTTGATGCAGTTACCAATTACGTTTTAGAGAATGAAGTTGAATTTAGTCTGCATTCTAATTTGATTGCGATGGCTGCATTTATTTGTGAGGATGCAGGCTCTTCAATCAGGATCTTCACAAAAGCTTGTGGATGGCAACATACTTCTTCGATTGATAATGTAAATCAACTGAGGTTTGAGCATGATATGTTAGTCTTTGTATTCCGTTAGTTAGTTTCTTCTCTAGAGGTTAGAAATTGCAGTCCTGCTCGAGTCCAGTCATGGTTTATCGAGAGCTTATTGAATCCGTTAACGCTCGTTGGCATCAATCTGTGTACGCGGGTTGTATCTGGTAGGTCTTGTCCGTGCTGCCAACAGAAGAGCAGTGATCAACATGAATTGTGCATGCTTTTATCGTTGCCTTCTGCGTGATTGTTATTCTGTGTCTTTCGAAGATACGTTATCGAGTTAATTAAGTGCATAGAAAATTCCAACAATGATTGATGTTTTCATTTTGATCAACGATAATCTAAAAAACACTCAACATGATTTTTAGGAATCTTGATTTCTATTAGTGTTTGTTTCAGAGAGATGCACTGGGACTTCTATTTCAACTCTCTCTCTCTCTCTCTCTCTCTCTCTCTCTCTGTATATATATATATATATATATATATATATGTGTATTATGATCATTGACTTCTAGAATTTTTATTGCAATCTAGATCATTTGTCTAAGTTTTTAAAATATTGCAAGTCTGCAAATATTGCCTTATAAGATAAATGCAACCTTTCTATGTGAACCTCCAGTAGATGAGGAAATAGTAAGAGATGGATTTTTTTCATCAAAAGGCACTTTTTATTTAATTACAAGAACATGGGTAGATTATATAAATAATTTTTTAAGATCAATTCAATTGCAAGGAAGAGATAGAAGTTTATAAAAGACTTAAGATTGAATGAAATTACATTTAGTTTAATCTCAATGATGAAGTGTACTTATTTGAATTTGACCAATTGTAATTCACCTTCTAAGAATACAAAAATTCTAAGTATCACAAGATGTGGATTCAAATCAAGAAGAAGGGCCACGGAGATATAAATGTTAAAAAAAAAAAAAAAAAAATCAAAAAAAAAATCAAAATATTTTTAGATGTCAATGATATACATTATTTATAATATTCAAAATATTTATTGACAGATATATTAGCAAGTCATTAAAAGAAAAATACATGCCAAAGCTAATAATAAGAGATCTTGTCATTCTTATAAATAAAATAGAAGAATAATAAAACAATTTAAAAAACTAAATATTAATAAAAAATTTAATATAGTTTATAAAGTATATGTTAAAATATTTTTAATATAATTTTAAAATATTTTGATAAGATTACAAATTAAGATCAAAATATTTTCTTTTTATTTAAGTATATCTTTTATAATATCTATTTAATTTAGATTTTTATTTTAATAGATTATAATTTTGGATTTTTTTTATATTTTTTTAATTATATTTTATTAAGAAATTTAAAAATACTATTATAAAAATCTTTATCTAAAACATCATGTGCACAACTTGTTGACCAAGTTTTCAAACTATTAATTAACTATATACACATCTAAATTCAAATCTATGTCTATAAAGCTTCTAAGAAGCTTCTTTATAAAATATTATGAAATCTACTTACATTTATTTTATATCTAATACCTTTTATCTAGCTAATTATATATGTTCATGATATTATTCCTTCTTCTAAAAATAAGTTCTACAATAAAGTATAATCACAAGTTAAAAAAGCCCAAGATACAACAAATTGTATTTGCCATAAACTTTAATCTTTGTTTCTTTCTATGATAATTAATAGATCCTCTCAACCATCAATAGTGTTTCATATTAGGATGTAAAGACCATGCTAATACTTGATCATTGTTGAAGCCTTTATAACTTCTTTCAAATAAGACATTTGAAACATCATCAAGGATGATTTCTACCACCAATAATATTAGTAAACACCTAGAATTTCTTCCATAGTTGTGATACCAAATACATTAAATTTCACCATCTATTCAAAAAAGAACATGTTGTTCTTAAGGGTCTTTATATCTATTATGTCATCTTAAAAGCTATAATAATCTAAATATATTCTTTATTGACTTAATAAATTATAGCTTTTGAATTGAATCTTTTGGTTGTTGATTTTTTATCTTTTTATTGCCACAAATACACAAAAATCACAAACAAAGATAGAAGATAGAATGCAATTTCTTTTGAATCTCGTTTCTTTTATGGCAATAATTGTTTGATTCTTCATCTTCTTTTTGATGGATATTGTTGATAAAAAAACATTAACCTTCTTTATTTCATTTGCGAGATTCTTGGAGGGCTTCTACATATATTCATTAATATTATATTTGTGCCAATGTGCAAGATATTCTAACCTATTATGGCATAGGTTTTAATCTAAGATTTCTTTGATTTCAAACTCTTGATTATTGTCCACTTTTATATGAGGAGGTGGCATTTGTCTTCTTTTTTACATATGTATTGTCTTGTGTAGCTAAAAAAGAGACATGTAGAATATAGGATGGATTTTCATAGACTTTAATAAATGTAACCTATAAATAATTGGTTTAATTTATTTATAAATAGAAAATGATAAAAGACTAAAATAATCCAAATTATCACAATGGCAATAAATCTTAATATTATAATAAAACAATCATATTCTATTGTTAAAATGAAACTCAAGTTATTAGTTATAATAGATATTAATATTGATTTTTTGTCATTCTTGAGTATTTTTTAATTATACCTTTATTATTGTATGTAGATCTAATAAATAATTTTTTAAATCTTTGTTTTAAGATTATCAACTTTTAAAAAGTCAAATGTATCAAATTATAGATAATAATCATAATTTTCATAAAAAATATTTATTGAGTGAAAAAATATACTATATTATTATTAAAAGATTTTACTAGTAGAAAAAGATTTTTTTTATCATCTTCATAGTCTTTGATAATACATCTTAAATACTATTTTAAAACTTAATTTATATATTTTATTTGTCCATCAATTTTAGAATGAAAAGCCAAAGATAATTTTATATCTATCTTTAAAATGTTGAAAAGAATTTTTCAAAATTTTGATATAAGTTGAATACTTTTATTTAATATAAAATTTCTTAGCAATCCATTATAGTAATAAATATTGAAAAAAAAATTTAATTTTTTCTTCACTTCCGATGTATTATGTATATAATACAAAATATGTCATCTTAGCAAAATTATCTATTATCATGAATATAAAGTCATAAGAATTTGAAATTGAAAGATTTGTGATAAAATATAAAAAAAAATAAAAAACTATAGTTTTTATAATATAGGTAATTGTTGAAAAAGACTATGAAAGTAATGATTTGGGGATTTTTTAATCTTAAATAAATATCACATGATTGTATAAAGTTTTTAACTACCTTCAATTATTGAGACCACCAAAAATTCTTTGATATGAGTTCTAAAGACTTGTTGTATCCAAAATGCCATATAATTGAAAAGTTAAGATGAACTTACAGAGTGCATAATTATGCTTCACCTTCTAGAATAAATAAGCATCCTTCTAAAGAGAGTAGATTATTTTTGAATTCAAACTTTGAAGTATAATAAAATTTAAATAAATTATTCTTAATATTATAAACAAAAGATTTGAAGATATAATTGATTGAACTTCTTTAAAAAAATTAAATCAATAATTAATATTAATTTCATTGTCCAAAGATAAATATATTCTAGCTTCAAAAGAATTATTTATTATTGATCAAAAGCCACATTTTTTTTAATAAAAAATAAATATATATAAAAATAATATATAATAAATATTATTATTTTTTGGTCTATAAATAATCTTGAATTCAAATCTTTACAAAGACATGCTTAAATGGGCTTAGCAATGCTCCGATAGACATGTTGATATGAAATACTTAGGGTTCTTATGATCTCTCTCTCTCTCTCTCTCTCTCTCTCTCTCTCTCTCTATATATATATATATATATATATATATGATAATTAGATTTGAAGTGTCTTCAAGATAATGGCATTATTCTTCAAATGGATAAAAAATTATAAGATCTTTGTGGTAAATCTAATAGTTGATTTTTAGTATTAAATTTTCTTGATTGAAAAGATATTAGATAAAGTTGGTCATTTTCTTCTATTTGTGATAATAATGCATTTAAAGTAAAATTCAATGCATTTATTTTGAAAAAAATGCCTCAAAAAAGTTAATACAACATAAGATTGGTATAAAAGTAAAAGTTATCTTTAAAGCTTCAAATAATGCCTTTGCTTTTTTATTCCACTCAAGTTTATCTTTACAAAATTAAATATATAAATAAAGCTATAACTTGAGAAAATTTCTTAATAAAAATTTCATAATGATTGATAAATTCTCAAAAATATTAGAAACTTCTTATTATTTAAAAATCTTCTAATCCATGATAGTTTAAACTTTTTTAGGATTCACCATAGAACTATCATTTGAAGTAGTGTATCCTAAGAAGTCAACTTGAATTTCATAAAATACACATTTTTCCATTTTGGCATATAAACCTATATCTCTAAATTTTTATAATACATATCAAACATGAAGTTCATGCTCTTTTGTATTCTTAGAGCAGATTAAGATATTATCTAAATAATAGATAAAATAGGACTTTTATTAGATATTGCATAATATTTTAGTTCTACAATCTCTATTATAAATAAACAAATTTTCTTTTTAATATATCATCTTTTTTGATAAGCATATTCTTTATTTTATAATTATATTTCTTTAGATAATATTGAGTAGTATACTTAGATTTTTTATAATTTAAGTACAATTCTTCTTCATAATGTCTTTTTTTTTCTTATTCATTGAAAAATTTGAAATATACCATATCAATTTATATAGGTTTTAATCTTGATAGATAAGATTTTAAATAATTTAAAATTATTGCCATGATTTTACTTATACATCTCTAATTAAGCCTTTGTTCTTGGCGTCTTTTAAAAAATTGGTTATTACATGCAATGTATCAAAGTTATGAATTTCAAAAATATATATATATATATATATATATATATATGAATATATAAATATATTCATATGCCACTCTAAAAGATTAAAAAATTACTCAAAGATGGTAAAATATTGAACTAAAATGGCTATTGTGAAAAACAAGAAGACTAAAAATTCCTGAAATAAGATTAAAGATTAAAAAGGCATTGACAAGAAAGAAGAAGGTTTTATTCTTGCTTCTATATATACTATACAATTAAGAGCTAAATGGCATTGTTCTACAAGACTTCTAATATGTGTCTAATTTGCAAGAAATATGTCTTAACTTACAAGGCAAGTTTTTTATATGCATACCATATTATTAGCTTGTACTAAAAATTATCCACATGTATAATATATGGCAAACTTGTTGGCCAATTTTCTAACCTACTAATCAACTATAAACATATACAAGGTCAAATAAGTATCTGCAAAGCTTCTAAGAAGCTTTGCTATAAGATACT